AAGATTAAAATCTCCCGACCAATTTTGTTACAGATGTCATATTCCAAATTTAATCGATATTCATTACATACTTTCGAAGAATAAGCAAGCAGACCATCAGACACAGTGAAAACTATGTGGTAAAATACAGACACTATAATATGGAATAATCATGAGAGTTATGTTGAAATTATGCGAAGAATAAATGTAGACAGTGCTTGTTATTATTCATTTGAAAATCTCTGTTCAGCTCAAAATCACGCTGAGACTTTGACACATAAATTTCCGGGTTGTTTTTTATGTTGTGAAACATGTCTTAATCTAAAAGAGAATGTATATCTGATAGAAATAATTGTACATAAATACATACGTACAGACGTATGCATAGAGAGACATGGAGACCTCGCTATGACTCTCAGCTAAGAATGTTATGGGATTCAACTACACCAACTTAAATAAGGTGAATTTAGTTAACTATTCCAGTAGTTACGCCAAGGAGATGTATGTGATAGTATCGTTTCGAGCGTCCATTTGAATTCCACATGGGTTTTTATAAAATGAAATAAGAATCTGAATATTGTCAGAAAATGTCGAAGCTTACAATTTAGTTCTTGGAGACTCAAACGCTGGGGAAGCACACGAACTGACTAGAGATTGTGATGCATGGCTACAAAAATCAGGAGACACCGAATCTCGAGGCGAAATAGAATATGAAGGCATATCCATTCCGCACACTCAGCACAGAAAGCAACAGGAATAGAAAGAGCGTAGCCTTACTCTGTAACGTTATAAACGAAATTGCCAGCGGCGAACTTTGAGGTAATGTAAATATCATAATAATTCAATGTAACTTACAGAGAGTGCACAGTACCGAATTTTAATAACATCTGTGGAAGGATCTGTGAGATAGATGGCCCAATGTAAACCTAGACTATATTACGGATAAATGTCGCTGGGAATCAGAATATCCCTAAAAGTATGATAAATATTGTAACGGATTTGATCAACGCGTTGCTAGGTAACAGCTGTGTAAAAACGGTCCAACACGCAATAGTAGAAATAGTGTTTTCTGTAGATTCGACTAATGTTCCAATATACTGGCTGGATAGCGATCACATGATATGTGTTTACTGTAATTCCATGTACGTTCCGCGGCTATATAAGTAAGAGTGACAGAATATCATGAAAATGAGAATGTTCGCAAAATCGGACAAGGCGAAGCCCAACACAGAAAGTATAGGGGGCTTAAACTTGGTGGCGGTCAGTAATACGACCGTTCAAGTGACTAGACTACTGTGGTAGCGAATACTACTAGAAATAGGGCAAAATCTGCTGTACTGAGCCTGGATTGACAGAGGATTTGTATATATTGTACATAGAAATAGGAATTAAGATTAAATTAGTATTTAATACTGACAATGGACTTATTAACACAGACTACGACTGACAAATGACAGACCCGACAGAGAGGACGCCCCAAATGAACAGGACAGTAACTTTCATATAAAGAAAAAAATCTGGTCATGAGCCCCAGTCGGGGCTCGACACCAAGACAGACAGACTGACTGACCGTCAGTAGCAATGTGACTTCGACTTTGACTTTGACTCGTTAACTGATCCAAACGGTGTCTGCGAGCTCATGGATTGCTCGGCGAGGGTCTTCGTTGATGAGTTCTCGAATTTTTTCAACATTTTCCGTCGTTTTATTGGTGATTGGTTGCCTTGAACGTTCGTAATCTTCACCCTCGATCGGCCTTGGAACGTGAATGCCATTCAAAAACCGCTTTCGACTTAAAGAATATTCTCCAAAAGCCTCACGAAGTATTTCAAGGGTTTCGGTAGCGGATTTGTCGAGCTTCATGCAAAAATTGATTCAGACACATTTCGCTATTTTGCCATCCATCGCAGACAAAAAGAAACACGAAGTTGAGAAAGCACTCGTCTAAAAGCAGTGCGTGTTCACAGCACCATGTCAGATGACAGACTGATGGAATAAGCTTTCGGGGGTGTGACCTTGCCGTCCTCTCTCATCTTCTTTTACAGAGGCAGTTAAAAACAATAATAGTCCGGGAACTTTACGATACAACCTCGTATATTACAAACGATTAAAAATAAAGGCCTCAGGATTTTAATGGAATTGCCAAGGGTAACATCAATTAAAATCCTACTTGAGCAAAGAACTGTATCGTTAATAAAAAATCATATGAAATATCTAGGGAGCGAATTATATCAAAAGTCAGTAAACAGTGAAAACTTACGGACTCAAAAATTAGGCCAACACTTTCCAATCAGTGATAAACATAGGCGTCCCCTCTCCTTGATTAGTAGATAACCACTCGGTAGGGCAACTGTAAATAATACATAAGCAAATATTTATCTGAAATCGGTCAGGGGAGCGCCTATTTACTTAAAATACAGTCTCCAACTAACACATCCTTTGATACACACTTTTAAGTTCCCCAGTCCTGCACAAACATGAAACGACAAGATTCGCTGAGGAACCCGTTACATGTCACTAGAATTCTTAGGACATCAGAAGAGACCAGTCCATAGGCAGTCCCCTGTGCTAGATCCGATCGAGGGCCTAAGAAACTGAGACGACCAGCAAGAAGAATGCCGACCACTAACGACACGTGATACTTCGTTAACTGGATGAGCAACAAAACCTCGTAAAACATTCGAAAATCTTTCAAATTGCCATGAATATTCCTGATAAAAACAGAAGGAATTACGTATATCATAACCCCATAATTATACGCATGAAACAAACCTTTGTAAAACAAATCTGTATAAATTTAAAAAAGAAGGAAAACAAGCAGAAATTAACATTAATGTCTTGTATTTAAATACCGGACTGCTCATTAGAAGTTAGTTTTTATCTGAAAGTTCCTGTGACCAACTAATTCCGTGAAGGTTTCCTCGCCTTTCCTCATGCTCAGAGCAAATGCTGAATTGGTATGCATATTTCATATCGGACTGCAATTGTAACTTGCGCCCCCTCCCACATTCCCCCAAAATTTCTTTTTAAAATAGCCCTTCAAATATAAAATGAGAACATTACCCGAATGCGGCACCCCCTTTCCAACATTAATATACAAATTCCAAACTAACGCAGTAGAGACCTTGCTCAATTTCTTTCCTCTGCTCATGAAAAAGTCTATTTCCCTCAGCCTCACCATCTTCACTTCCGAACAAAAGACCTCTCCAAACTATCTTTGCCAGTAGGACAAGCAGGCACTGCCTGAGAACCTGCAAAAGCCGATAATTCATAAGCTCTTCCTCCAGTAAATTGTATTGTCTTCCACCACTCTCTCTCCACTTTCTCTTCTCTTTTCCTCAGGCTTCAGACTGTTGACAAAGATGTCCGGAAAACAGTCAATAAAGCCGACATACAATGGAAAGTTCATGGCTGTCTGTCTGTCTATCTGTGTGTACAATTTTCTGAACTACTCAAGGAATTCGGAAGACATTGTACTGGAATCCAAGCTATAAGCCATAGTTTGAATTTAATTTTATAGTAGTCCAACACATTCCTACTTGACTTGAATCCAAAATCAAAATTTTTGTCGGCTTTTTATAAATGTCCCATCGTACAAGAAGACTGACGCATAATACAAAATATAATATTCATTAATATCGAAAATATTATCTGAAATACTTTTCAATTTGTATTTGTTTAACGAAATGGCACACGATAAAAAATGTCTGACCCTGTTCAGTGCGATTTGATTTGAACATGTCGCATATGCATGAATATTACGGGCAATGAGGTACATATATAAAGGCACAAAGAACGCCCGTCTACAATATACCGCCTCGCTTTGGCTTGAAATATCATTACTTGTTTTTCAAATAATGAGATATTGAAACAAAATCCAAGAATCTGGTCGTAATGAACGTGTTTTACATGTCATCCTGTCTAAATTTTGCAAACCATGTCCACTTACTGAAAATCAATATACTCGTACATGCGTCGACGTTTAAGAGATCATATTTAAGCTGAAGATGGACATAGCTAATTATCCGAAACATTAGAATACCCAGCACAGAAGAACATGGCTTCATAACCGAGGTGCTCCTAAATATGAGATATGATATGTTAACATATGAATATAAACAGAATATGCAACATGTATAAACCATTCTCCAAAGAATACTCCAACATGATAATGCATTATGCATGCGTCTTTTGTTACTTTAGCACTTGAAACTGGGATTACTAAAAATCTACATTGTCTTGTGCCATATGCAGTTCATGCAAACCTTTACATCGCATTCTGTCCCCCAAACAAAAACAACCAACTACAAATTAATGAAATGCAACATTCTGTTGCACTGAGTAATCTGACTTTGTGTTTCACTTCTTGCCTTCTACGTGCAAATTCTGTTAATATTCACTCATCTTCTCTTTCTTTTATATCACCACATGTTTCGGTCTAATTGACCTTCATCAGGTGCACAAGTTGTTGTGATGAAGGAATCTGTTGTTCTGCTGTAATGTTGTTTAGGTTTTTTTTTGTGTAAATGTCTCGGACTGTTCTAGGTTATGTGAGCTATTGTGTTTTGTTATGGATTATATTAAAGTTTTATTTTAAGATATATATTTATGTTCATTTTGTGTCTGCATATTTGATGTTACTTACGGTTTTGTTGGTTTGTTGATCTTTCTTCGGTTCAGTGTGTGGCTGTCCTGAATGTTTCTGTAGGAGCCCCAGCGCGATAACCCATATAACCTAGAAGAGTCCGAGGCATTTACACAAAAGAAAACCTGAACAACTTTAAACCGACCAGCAGATTCCTTCAGCACAGCAACTTCTACACCTGATGACGGAAAATTAGGCCGAAACTTGCAGTGATATACAATCAAGAGAAGACGACGAGTGAATATTAACTGAAGCTGTATATAAATGGCAAGAAGACGAACACAAAGTCAAACATAAGCTTATTTTCACTTATAATAAACAATGCATCGTATATACAAAAAATTACCACTGTCCCCACAAGAGTTGCATAAAGGATACATGCTATCATGTCTCTGATGCACTGTGGCTCTTCAGGCATACTGTAAAACGCCCGAAATTCTTTCCGAAGATCGTGGAAATAAGAGTAGTAGCTGGGCAGCTCCAGGTTTTTGGAACAGGTCTCCGGGTGAAGACACTGTCGAAGCGGTAGTTGTCCATCTGTGACGAACCGTAGCGAATGTGTGGAGGGGCCGATGTGAAACGTCTGTCGTGCATAGTGTTCGAACTGCAATGAAAGCAATAGAGCTCCTGTTAACATTCATTCAAAAATTTACTGGAAATTTCAGTACTGATATCCTCAAAGTTTGCCACCCCGTTCTGATCATACAGTGACTACGAGCTGGAAGGAAGAAATTCGATTCCGAGCAAGGATACATGATTTTCCTTTCACTACCGCGTCCGAAACGGCTCTGGGATAACAGTCAGCTTCCTTTCTGATCATTATCGAGGGTTCTGTCCTCGGAGCACGAAGCTGATCATTCATACGCACCTACTTACTTACTTATGGAGCTGAGACATTCTTGAGGAGCCGCAAATTCTGCAGCTGCTCAAGAATTTTCCAGCATTTTATGGAACCCGAAGGTTCATTACCTTGTTCACAAGAGCCCTCCACTGGTCCCTATCTTGAACCATATCAATCCAATCCATACTATCCCATCCTATCTCTCTAAGATACATTTTAATATTGTCCCCCCACCTACGCCTTTGTCTTCTCAGTGGTCTCTATCCTTCTGGCTTTCCCGCCAATATCCTTTATACATTCCTCTTTTCCCCCATTCGTGCTACATGTCCTGCCTCGGTCGGTATAGTTCTCTTGCGGACTACAGGCCACGGAGATTTGTTTGTTTTTTTATTTAGTAAACTACAAACTACATGTTTTGTTCTTGTATTTATTCACTGATAATATTAATTTAGAAGTAGAACATTAATTTCACGGACTACATTTTTAGACCGTAAATATACCGCCTATAATGAAACAATAACCCTATATAAAAGACACTAAGAATATATTTAATACACTAAAAGTGCTTGTTAAATATTTTAAAATATCATTAAAATTTCACATTCATTCCTTGCTGCAACATGTTTCGACCACACATGGGCCATCATCAGGAAACTTTTTGTTATTGTGGAGACCACTGCACGGACTACGTCTTATTCACAATTTTCTGCAAAAACACACTAATAGGAACACACAACGGGCAATTCTTTACGAAAGTATTTTAATATAAAAATATATAAAAATTATTCTTTTCTGTACAAAACTTATGTTTCATTCATAATTACCTGTACCTGTGTTTGCGAATGAGGGACGATACCACCTACCAATCGTGTATCGTGAATTATTAGCACTGTCTCCTGTTCACTGAGTTGAAAGACAAAGATACTGTCCGATTACAATGATAAATTCAGAAAATAACAAAATAATACAGTGCAGTGCCCTTGTTTTGGGTTCAAAAAAGCACCCTCGTCCTTTCATCAAGTGCCAGTGTTGACCAGCGGCGATTCATGTGTTCCAACGAAATAAACAGTTTCCAAACGCGTTCTTTTGGGTCCTGCACAAGTCATTGGTCTTCATGGTCACTGATTACAGAGCCATCCTTTGTTGAAAAGCATATCATACTGCACAGAGTCCGAAATTAATCTTCCCTGCATTTCGTTACATGATAATGAAATCGGGAGAGTTGTCAAGTACAACCCAAGCATTTAACAAAGTTTAATAGAATTTGAGACTGAAAAGACTGCGCTAAAAATGTGTGCCTCCAAATTAATTTGGGTTCACATCCAACTAGCATACCAACACAACATGTAATTTACACGACGCTCAAATCAAGACTTTATCAGAATCATATAAGAATTAGCACATAACATAAAATGTAGATCAGAAGATATAAAACTGTTATTTTAAACACATTTGATGAGGATGATTTTTAACAAAATCCAAGGAAAATTTTTCATTACTTACTAAGTATTAGTATGATTTGAGAATAGTGTGTTGAGGAGAATATTTGGACAGAAGAGAGATGAAGTGACAGGAAGTTGAAGAAAGCTGCATAATGAAGAGCTTCATAACTTGTACTCTTTTCCAAGTATAATTAAAATGATCAAGTAAAGGACGATGAGGTTGGCAGGGCATGTAGCACGAAGAGGAATGCATATAGGATATTGGTGGGAAATCCAGGATGAAAGAAACCACTGGGGAGACCAAGATGTAGATGGGTGGACCATACTAATATGATCTTAGATAGGAAGAGATGGTCTGGATTGGATTGATGTGGCTAAGGAGAAGGACCAGTGGAGGGCTCTTGTGAACACGGTAATGAACCTTCGGGTTCCATAAAATGCTGGGAAGTTCTTGAGTAGTTGCGCAATTGGCGGATCCTAAAGAAGGTTTCAGCTCCAAGAGTCCGAATACCGGTATGATGAGCTCTCCAACAATATATTTGTGTCTGCAATGAAAGTGAAGGCCAATGTGATATACAACATCGATAAGGATGCATATGAAAACATGTGTACCACATTCCACCCTTATTGTGAAACAGCCTTGCAAACATTTCGAAAAATGTAGCAACAGGTTTAACTGTAAGATGGCAAGTGAGTGCGGACAAGAAAACTAAAATAAAGACAAAATTACCCGTATTTCCATGACCAAGAAGTGTCATGGATTCTTGCATGACTATTCGGGTGGTCAAAAGGTAAAGGTAAATTTGTCCCTGTGCTTAACTAATTAATCGCTACGCCATGAAGGCTTATGGGGGGGGGGTATATGTATAGATCCAACTTTCATTGACCTCGGCATTAGATGGAGGTGAGTGGTCAGCTTCACTCCCCGGCAGCTTTACCCCCAGGAAAGAGCTCCCGTTACCCATTGTATAGGAGGCTGGGTGAACACCACAGCCGGTCTGACGACATCATCATCATCATCAGTAATCTGTCAAGACGACAGGTCCACAGTCTCTTTCAAAACAATTCCTCCACTTAATGCGATCTAGAGCTTTCTCCTTCAAATGACAGTATCCTCTTCTGTCCCCAAGGTCATCCAGCATCTTCTTACGTCTTCTTCCTCGTCTTCTTGTCACTTCTATCCGCCCATCTATCTTTCCTTCGATAGCTTCTTTTAGAAGGCAGTTTCTGCGTAAAACATGACCAATCCAATTAGCCTTCCGTTTTCTTATTTCATGTAGGATATTCCTCTGCTCACTGACTCTAATTAACACTTCTTCATTTCTCACATAATCGGTCCAACTGATCTTCTCCATTCTTCTCCAACACCACATTTCGAAACTTTCCAGATGTTTCTGATCTACTGCCCTAAGTGTCCATGTTTCAGCCCCATACAGAGCTATGCTCCAAATGTAGCATTTCACTAGTTTCTTCCTCAAATTTAAGTCCAATTTGCTGGTAAAAAGATTCTTCTTCTTGCTAAATGCAGCTTTTGCCATGGCAATCCTGGATTTAATTTCACAAGTACACCTTCCATCATCTGTTAACAAGCTACCCAAATATTTAAAACATTTCACATTCTCCACTTGTTTTTGGTCTATCTTTATTGTGACTGGGGTTGGTTGTCTCGAAATTTTCATTACTTTTGTTTTCTCCACATTCATTTCCATGCCATAGCACCTTCCAATTTCAATTAGTCTATCAATCATGCCCTGTAGCACAGTTTCTTCCTTAGCCATTAACACAAGGTCATCTGCATATTTCACAGTTTGAATAATTTGCCCTCCTACTTTGAAGTCACCGAGCCCATCCAGAGCTTCCTTGGTAAGGCATTCGCTGTACAAGTTGAACAGAATTGGTGATAAACAGCATCCTTGTCGAACTCCTCTTCCAATCTGCACACTTCCTGTCTCCCCCCTGTCCAGTCGTACTCTAACTTTCTGATCCATGTACAATTTGCTAATCAATCTTCTTTCATGCCAATCGATACCTGTTTCTTTCAGGATCTGCATTAATTTGGTCCAGTTTACCCGGTCAAATGCCTTCTGCCAGTCTATGAAGCAAACACACAGTTCTTCATCTATCTCCAAAGTTCGTTCCGCTATAATTCTCATCATCCCAATTGCATCCCTGGTTCCTTTTCCTCTTCTAAATCCAAACTGATCTTCTCCAAGTACATCCTCTATTTTCCTTTCAATTCTTCTTTTAAGTATCTTTGCTATTATCTTTGCTGTATGTGCAATAAGACTTATTGTGCGATGGTCGCTGCATTTTGTAGCTTTTGTCTTTTTCTTTAAGGCAATCATTGTAACTTCTGTAAAGTCCTTGGGCCACTCTCCACTTTCATATATGGTGTTCATTAGTTTTGTCAGTGTTTTCAAACCACCTTCTCCCAGTAACTTGAGCACATCTCCAGGTACATCATCATCTCCTGTAGCCTTTCCCTTCCTCATTTCCTTGATAGCTTTTTCCACCTCACTTTGTAAAATATATGGTCCTTTCTCGTCTGTATCTACTTCTTCTTCCGGTTCAACTTCTAAGGTTTCTGGCCGATTAGGTCGATCATATAGTTCTGAAATATAATTTTCCCAAATTTTCAGCACTTGCCTCTGATCTACTATTCTATTCCCCTGGGAGTCTTCGATGCCAACATTTTGAATCCCATGATTCTCTTTCCATCCTAGTTCTTTTGTCTTCATGTACATCAAATCATAACGGCCTGTTCTTTGAAATTCCATAATCTCATTACATATCTTCTCAAGATATTCCTTTTTGGCCTTGACGACATGGAGAAGAGAAAATTCTAGACCCTACCGGGACTCAAACTCCGAACCCTCGGTCGTCCAGGCAGTATCCAGTCGCTATACCGACTGAGCTATCCCGGCTTCTACTCGGGTGGTACCCGTGTTAAGAACCGTAGCCAAGGTATCCTGAACTCGTTCACCTAAACTGGGTTGAAGTCTTCTTGATATACCATTCTAATTTCAGTAGCTGCGAATTAGTTGGGTGGGTCCCTTAGGCCCTCTATAGGTCAGTTAAGCTCATGCACCTTATGCTATGAGGAAATCTTTCTCAAGGTGATCAACAATTTCATGAAGCATAGGAGCATTGTGTATTTCTGTAGCTGACAATCACCTCCACCCCCTGGAAATTCTACTCAGGTCACTATTATGTAGATATATCAATTCTGCAGCCTTCATTGAAAAGCTGATAATATCACAGCTAGTCGGGAATTCTCTGCTTTTGTAAATGCCGAAGGTAAACAAATGTCTGCAAATGTAA